GTGAACGTACGCAGACCAATGATGGTCCCTGATCGTCAGTCAATGCCCGAAAAAAGTTGTCGCTAATTGAAATCTAGGACTTTACATCATAATAGTGGTCCTATATAGTAACAGGTTGATATTCTGTCTGACCAATTTATATTGGTCAGACAGAATGAACTCACGATATATGGACGCGATGTTTTGTCGGCAATCGTCTACTTCCAAGCTGCCAGATTGGGCCAGGGGTTGGACATCCCTGCAATAGACGATTTTTCGTCTATTGCAGGGATGTCCAACCCCTGGCCCAAGGCAAGTTCCAATGCGGCCCAATAAACGTGTAAACAAAACCGACAAATTATTTTATTTATTTCAACGAAAGAAACTAAAAAATAGAAGTTTTACAAAGCCGTAAACCTTTATATATTATTTATTTTTGAGTGGAAAGAAAATGTTTTCAAATACTTGGAAATGTGTGAATGAGGAAGGAATACTATATAAAGCTAAAGTTGAGACTCAAAGAATTATAGACCCAAATTCTGGGAAAGGAGAGAAAGGCCAAAAGATAAAAAGTAGTGAGAAAGGTTAAATAGACTTTCTTTTATGCAAATATGAACCGTTAATTTTTCAACCTTCCTCACTTCTTTATATTTTGTTTTTTCTCTCCTTTCCCCGAATTTCGGTCTATAATCCTTTGAGTCCCAACTCCAATTTTATTTAGTATTCCTTCCAGCGTTGCATGATTTGGCTACTTTGCGCCAAAGTTGGGTTCCCTTTTTTAGTTTGGCGTAAAATATATCATTTGGCGCATAGGCTTACTTTTTTTATTATTTATAAATATATTAGTCGAATTAAAATGCACTTTAAAATGGTATTTTGTCATTTTTTATTAATTAGAGACCCAAATAAAACAAAATACAGGTATTTGTGTTTTTCAAATAAATTTTTGTCTTCTTTATAATAAATGAATTTATCTATTTCAAAGTAAAAATTGAAAGTGTCTGTAAAAGTAATTTTTTAAAATATCCTTTTTCGTGATAAAGATTTAATACTTATTACTATAATCTAGACATGTTAATCCTTAAATATACCTGTATATTTAAGGATTAACATGTCTAGATTGGGCCACAAGTACATATAATATACTTGTGGCCCAAAACTCCATGACACCTTCCAATGTGGCCCAGAGAAACAAAAAGGTTGGACACCCCAGTCTATTGAGTTAGTTTTGATGGCATTTCATTCACCAGAAAAGGTGTTTCGGCAATGGTAACTAATTGGGCGATTTTAGCTTATGATTTGTAACAGTCTCTACTAGTCCCGTAGCCAGGAATAAATCATTGGGGGCTAAAGGAAAAAAGTGAAAAATTGTGATAAATATTTTTCTTCTTTTCAGCCAGCACTAGGCCTACTAGCTACAATTAAGTGTACAGTACAAATAAATAAGAATAGCCCAAGTTTACTTGATGAAAGCAAAATCACATATATACTGCATATGGGCACTACTAAGTTGAGGTAGCTAAGCCACCTAATAGACCCCGTAGCTACGGATCGTCTCTAAATATTTGCCATTTGGTAGGTGAAGTATTTTTAATGATTATTAACCATTTGTACACCATATATGTTCGAAAATTTTGATGTTTTTATTATGTATATTGTAAGTAAATAGCATTAAGAATATTAATTAACGAAGATCTACAGCTGATTATTTTATAACTTTAGCGTATTTTATTATTTACTCTTTTATAACATTTATATTTAAAGTTTTTTTAACATTTAGTGGAAAGTTTTAAAACACAATCACCAATAATATAAACCGGATGGCCGAGTTGTTAAGACGGCAGCCTATCGCTCTGAGATCCAGAATCAAAAAACCAAGAATGTTTTGCGGGGTTCGTCCGTATGGATATGTCGAGCCCCGACCCTCGCTACCCGGCCACCTGATTGTGGGCCTGGTCGAATCCATAATGGACACACTAAAAAGGTGTTCTTGGTGCACATTACAGAAACGACTTTTACAGAAAAATAAAATACTGGGGTATTTAAATTTCTTTACTAAACGTTTTTGGCTCTATGAGCTTTCGTCAGGTAAATTGTGTTCAAATTCGGAACAACATCGAACATTTTTTTACAAATTCAAAATGAAATTATCAAGAATATAGTTAACGAATTTTTTAACAATAAAATCCTTAATTATTATAATAATAATAAACTATCTCCAAAAAATTAATACAATAACTTAACTAATTAATATTTAAGATTGTCAACTGTCCAATATTGTATATATTAGACTACAAGGTGTTTTTACTGGTCCCAAGTCCTTTTTTAGTAACGTATCTCCATGCCCTTGGAAATCGCTCTACGTCCCTGGCGTTAAACTCTTCATTAACTATCGCGATACTGCTTTACTTTCTTCTGAGAGTTGATCCTTGCCGTTTCGCAGTATACGATAAAAATTAGGAGCTCTTTAATATACCATGCACGAGAGGCCACGATAAAGCAAATTTGAATAAATTAGGAAGATAAGTAAGGAACTGGGATATACTAACAAATGATTTATGAATCTGGTTAATCATTATAACAAGATCAATATCACTAAAATGTAAACGAATGAGATGGTTGGTACAAAGTTCACATACCAAAAAGAGATCAGACATATAATGGAGGAGCTTTCCAAACGAAAGAACTCGTACATGTTTAGTAAATTAATTTAAATACCCCAGTGATAAGGCGGATTGTGAAAATGACACAGTTTAAAACCACGATTAGATTATCAAAACATTTCAAGAAGTCAAGTATTTTAGACCATACCATGTTCATAGATCATCAACACGTCCTGTCGGTGAATTGGTTTGAGAGCGATCCATTTTTAAAAAACTCTGACGAGTTGCGTAACTTTCCAGGCTATGGAGGTTTATTATTTAAAACATAAAATTGTGTGGCGCCATCCGTTATGAGGTTTTGTTATAAAAATACTTTATTATTATTATAAAATGGCAAAAAGCTTAATTTTGAGGATAGTAATAAGTTTTATGAAAAAAAATTGTAAATGCTAATAGGCTAATGAGTAAAATCTTCATTAAATCAGATTCCTAGTGACATATGGCTACTATCACCCTACCCACTCGACCTCTAACCACCAAAATTTAATAGTATCAATGCCCGTTATACACAAGCTACCGTGCAAATTTAGTTTCTTGATCTTTAACTCATCCTGAGATATTAAACGAAATAGACATCAACATAAACATACACGGAATTTTTTCCCATTTCTTGAGTTCGGGGAGTTTCAAAACGTGTAAATTTGCAAAACCCGAAGAGTCAAATTTGACACGATTCCAATAATTCCCCTTGTCGAGTATACATAACAGCCGGGAAAGTAAAACTGAATTTATGATTATTTGCCATTATTTTAAATTATTTATTTTGTATTACTATTGATTATTCTTTTATTATATATTATTGTTTGGTTATTTAAATCATTACATATGAAATTAATATTGTTTATATAAATAATTACAAACCGCAAAACTGAAGTAGGAAAGAATCACGAAGTGTGGCGGTTGGACTGCGAGAGTCAAGAGGCAGAGCCCCTAATATATTGTATGACACAATTTACTTATTAATGTGTAAACGTTACGGATTTTATCGAATCATTGACGATTGGTTGAATGACATTTAAGCGAGTATTACTTTCGGATGATCACAGATGAACATTTGTCATATCCCTATCTCCATATATGTTAATCGTCACGACTATCACTTTCATTTATCCCGCCTTTACACTCACGAGCATAGCTTTTAACTTTTCGAAATTTCTTCTGGAATAATATTCCATCGACCCCAAAAATATAGATATGCCTACACTTAACAATTACATTTCTCAATTTCGCATTTCATTTTTAAAATAGTTCATCTCCCAATTGCGTTCTTAAATCTTAACAATCATATATATGGACTCTTGGGACGCCATAGTCATTGATAATCCATCTCATATGAGAATAGAGTCGACCTGTTCACGGACCGATTAATTTTTTCATTTTTTTGTAATTAAATAACAAAATAACTATAAAATAGAGGAGAACGACGTTCAAATGCATTTTTAAACTGAACTGGTAAGAAAAATACAACAAAGTTTGGTTCTTATTCTTTAAAATGGGTTTGTGAAAGTTTTTAAGTAAGTCCCGAGTCATTATCGATCGTCACTCCATCCTTCACGATGTTTAAAGAAAACTGAAGTTAGAAAATAACATGTTTTAAAAGACTTTTAAATGAACTTTAGTTTTAATGAATAAAAATACAGCAGAGCATCGATTATCCGAATGTCGAGCAACCGAAAACTTTCCAGTCGGCAAATTTAAATTTTCGCTAGTGCTGTGGCGCTGCAATCTTTGCCTATGTCTTGGGTTACCCCAAGGACTTTAAACTACAGTATGTAGTTTAAAGTCCTTGGGGTAAATGTAAACTGTAGTATACAGTCCTTGGGGCTACCCCATTATTATTTTTGTTGGTTTGCGTGTTTTAGCTGGCAGCACTGGCACGACCATGAGAGGGTACTTAAGGACATACCAGAATTCGAACGTATTTGTTCGTACATAATCGGTTACCCGAACAACCCGTCCCAATTTATTCGGATAATCGATGCTCCACTGTAACTATATTTCTAAAAATTTAAAAGATAAAAATGTAGATATCTATATGCATTTCGCCTTCTTTCTTCGGCCTTATTAGTGGATCCACTAATGAGGCCGAAGAAAGAAGGCGAAATGCATATGAATAAAATGGAAAAAAACAGTCAGAGTAAAATAAACATCTTTTTAGCCCGTAATAAACTGTTTGCGGACCCCGGTTTGAGCAGCACTAACCTAGGAAATTTAATATAAAGGAAAATAATATAAAACCAAACCAATCATGCAAAGACTTTGGTGTTTTACCATAAAATTTATATGAAAGACATAAGAAATGTATGCACTTTCTAATTTTTAATGAATGTTTTTGAAAAATTAACCCCAGAGATAGACTAAAATATTGAAAGTATTTTAATTCGAGCTTTAAAAAACTTTAAACATTAATTTGTATTTATACAAAATTAGTGTAATTCTAGTCAATGTACGAAGCACCAGAACTGTTAATAAAATATTTTTAATATGAATTTTATCATCACATTAAAAGAACTAATTATATAAACAAGAGTACCGTGTAGTGAAACGATTACATCATGTAACCATTTTCTTCATTCAATAATTGAATTCGTCTCTTGCTTCTTATGGATATCATAAGATCATCTTCACTATCGTTGTCATCTTCGTTGTCGTAACCTTCGTATCCATCGGTATCAATTTCATCCTCGTCTGTGTCGACTTGCTCAAAAAGAAGTTCTTCTGGAACTTCTATGGAAGAAGTGTTAGGAGATATGTCCGAATCACTGGTGGAATCTACGTTGCTTATGATTTCGCAGTAACATGACAAACGGTCGTAATGACTATTTGCTAGTAGCAAAAGTAATTTCCACCGATACAGCTCAAAATTTAAAAAAGTGGAAAATGGTAGTGGAAGACACAGTTTCTTTACCAGATCGATTAGATCTTCACATTTAATTTGAAACAATTTTTGCATAAATAATGATTTAATGTGAAGTATATTATTCTCTCTGGCTTGATACGGAGCACAAGTCACATCTTCCGGAATACTTTCCAATTGAGTGTCATTTTCGATATGATTATCTGAATTAAGGTAACAACTTTGGTCCATTTTTGTAATTTCTTTCTCGTCGGTTTCTTCTTTATATACACCATATTTCGCAGTGAGATGATCCAAACAGCAACTAAATATAGTTCGAGCGCATCTCTGTCTAAGAGTGAGAGATGTTTTGCCCAGTAGACTAGGAATAATAAAATTTTTATTCAGCAATTTTTCCAGGGTAGTAAAATGCATATTGATGTAGTGATTCCATTGAAGTAATTCAAATAACGATCGTTCTAATTTATCAAAGTATTTATTTAGCAATCCTAATTAACAAAAAAAAAAAAAAATGCGTATATAAGAATCGATATAAAATGTATTTCAAATGAAAAAAATCATATACATAACCCATTCAATTTTAAAATACAGTAATTTAAGTATTTGGCATGTTCATTTCATTACGAAACAAATCATCTAACTAAAATAGGTTAGATGCTATTTCCTATTGACTAAAACAAGTTAGTGAATATGTTAATTGAGAAAATACAATAAATACAATGCATAAATGCTCTCAAATGATTATCATCACTTCAATTTCCGTCATTTCACTCATTGATGTGCTCGGTGTTGAATGATCAATCACATGTGACAGATTTAATATAACGCAATATAATACATGTTATTTTAGACAACAAACAGAAATATACTAGCATAATGAAATTTATTCAAATAAGTGCCATGACATCAATTAGAAACTTATAATATTGTGAACAAACTTAAAACAAACTAGAATGTATTGAGGATATGCATCCTTTATGATTCTTTTAAATATTCTTTTTTGAAAAATTCAGAAATTTATAAAGATTGTGGAGGTGCATCTGTTATGAGATTTTATTTAAAAATAATTTTTATATTATTAATTATTATAAAAAGGCAAAACACTTATTTTTGGAGGTAGAAGTGAGTTTCTAAAAAACTGCATACAGTCGATCCCCCTATAAGATCATTGATTTTTCCGTTTTATCTGAATTACATGTTGTACGAGTCACTTAGATTTTACAAATACGTGTGCCGGGCTGTGAACGACACACGTATTTGTAAAATCTAAGTGACTCGTACAACATGTAATTCA